ATCGACGATATCATAGTGGCAATCGTTTCTGAAGAACGGCATGCAGAGCATCTCAAGATTCTTTTCGACAACTCGATCGCTAATAGCATCGGTCAATGACGACAAATGCATATTTCAGCAGCCGTCCGTCGAATTGCTTGCCCACACATCGATCAGTATGGCGGCCTCTAGACGACAGAGTCCGCGCCAACAGACGTTCTGGTCCCGACTACGTTGGCCGCTTTCCCGTTTTAACCGTATGATCAACTAGTACCGATGTTTTCTTCGACACTGTGCCGAGTTGCTAAGTACACTATCCAGTCTATTTTGTGGAAGTAAAAACGGCACTGTGGAATTGACCCCTGCTGCTGCTGAAGTATTCAAGGTCAGTAAAGTGGCCTTGGCCGAAGCCGTTACAATCCATCACGTTGGAACGAGCACTCCACTCAGCTTTGCTGTTGACGTATCGGACCCCGCCATTGGCGCAGTCCTACAGCACATTACCGATGGATGTTGGAAACCACTTGCTTACTACTCCAGATGCTCACAACCCGCAGAAGTCAAGTGTAGCACGCTCAGTCACAAACTGCTGGCTGTCCATTCTACCGTTCGATATTTCCGACATTTCCTTAGAGGTAACACCTTCAATCATAAGCCGCTTATCTACGCCTTCCGAAATCAACCAATTCGACACTCACCACGTGAGGTCCGTCAGCAGGATTTTGTGGCCAAGTTTTCTACTGACCTACGACACATCTCTGGTCGGAATAACGTTGCTGCCGACGGCCTTTCTCGTGTCTCCGCAATTAACATCGCCGGGTAGGCAATCGATCTGCGTGCCATGGCCGTGGCGTAGCGAACTGATAATGAATGTCAGTCCGCCTTCTCAGGTTCTTCTCTGAAAATCGCATCGCACCCACTGCTGTGATCCGATGGCACCATCATCTGCGACATATGCATGGGACGCCTTCATCCAGTTGTCCCCGAATCTTCTCGTCACATCGTTTTTGACATCTTCCACAACATAACTCATCTAGGAAACAACACTACCGTTAGGCTCCTTTCAGAGCAGTATGTCTGTCTGGTATGCAGGGCGACAGACTATGGAGATGTAGCTGTCCAACCTGTCAGAAGGCCAAGACTCGGCGACACGTGTTTCCTCCGGCTGGCCGCTTCCCCTCAAATTCCGGCCGTTGTGCACACGTCCATCTCGACATACTTGGAGCGTTAGCACCGGCTAAGGGCGTGGACAACATCCCGACCAGGATAGATCGCTGCACACGTTGGCTCGAACCTATTCCGATTCCTGAGGCCGCAGCCGAAACAGTCAAAATAGCTTTTATCGATCGCAGCTCAAGATTGCCCTCTAACTGTGACCATCGACAGAAGCCCTCAGTTTGAATCTGTCATCCGCTTAGAGACGCTAGGTACCCATGGCATTCGCACTACCGCCTGCCATCATGCTTTGAATGGTATGGTCGAGCGTTTCCATAGGAAGCCCACGGTGTATGTCAGCGCAGTTGATGCACACAACTAGACGAGAGCCTTATGGATGGTACTGCTGGGCATCCGCTCAGCAATCAAGGTAGAGATTCAAACTTTTGGCGCTGAATCCATTATATTCATTCACTATACACGTCAGCTAGAGGTGGGAAACACCTCAGCTACTGTGCCGCAATACATAAATGAAAAAGGTAAATACAAATTTGCATGCCAGCTGAGCTACCAGCAAAGGATACGCATTGTCCCGGTAAGCTACCAGTCGGCTACTAGGGAAAAAGTAAAAAGATATTATGTTTACGCTAAGAAATGAGATCGTAGGTGGAGGGGGAGGATAAAAGGGATGGGGAGGGACAAAGGAACTCACAGCAGGAACGCCACTGAGGTCGGCTCCTTGCCATATCAGCAATTGTATCCAGCCAAACGTGTTCACCATCTTTTGGACCCCAACCAGGGAGTCGTGACGCTCCAACCGAGGCCAGCACAGAAGTGAGGGCCTTCATTCCTCTTGACTAAGTCATCGCTTGGCCACCTCTCCTCTTCTTCCACCCACATCCCCGGTGAACAAACAACGCACGTCGTGGCAGTCGGTGGGCTGGCATGCACAACACGTGGCCCAGCCATCGGAGCCTGGTGCGTGAAATGACGGTGTTGAACGGTTCAGCTCCTTTTCCTGTGCCGTAAACAAGGCGTCGAACACGCTCGTTACTCACGCGGTGTTCCCACCAGATGTGATCCAAACTGCGATGGCACCGATGGTCGAACGTAATTAGCCTCTTCATGTCCGCCGATCTTAGGGGCCAGGTTTCGCAACCGTACAGTAAGGTCGGACATACCGCAGCATTGTACACTCTACCCTTCAGAGCGAGAGTAATGTTGCGCCGCCGCCAGAAGTGGCGAAGGTTAGCAAAAGCACTTCGAGCTTTTGCTATACGGTTCGTGATCTCGTCTTCGATCCCAAGGGCGCTGATACAACTTCCCAGATAGTTGAATTTCCGAACGACTTCTAGCTGATCCTCACCAAGGGTCAGTGCAGGAGAGGATCCCTGCCAATCTTGGAGGAACGCTTTGCATTTCGATGGTGCAAAACAAATCCCGAAGCGGCTGATAGCCAGTGCTAATCTGTCCAGCGCGGCTTGGCATGTCTGGGAGCTGTCACAGATGAGGGCAATGTCGTCTGCATACTCCAAGTCGAAAAGTCGTTTTAATGGGATAGCGCTGAATTGATCTATGGCCAAGCTCTACAGCATCCTCCATCGCAACGAGACAGGACCTTGGCGTGGTGTGATGGTTTGCGTACCCCCCTGACCGATTGAGTTATGCTGGGTGACATTTTCCAAATGCCTTCAGAGTCAATCATATCAGACAGGTCAATGGTTAGGGGTCATACTAACTCAGTCTTACAATGAAATCCTCTGCGGAGGTTAGGGAGAGGTCGATGGCCATCTTCCTTGAAAACCAAGCCATGGGGAACAACGGGTCTATGGGTTATAAGTTCACCGCTCGATTAGCCCAGAGCACGAGCGCCACGCATTGTCTCTGACGGTGGGAGGGCACCTCAGGGTGCTCAATGACTTAATACCGCCCGCTTCAAGCAAGACAGCCCTTGATCGAAATGGTGTAAACCCGCCAACTCCCACATGCGGCTGGCCGTCCTTGCAGGTGAGTAACAGTACGGTCGTACTGTTCTAAATCTTCAAAAGCTGCGTGTGACGGACTTCAAGCAGATCCCAATCTGTCTCTGCAATCAAACTCCCGAGCTGCACTTGCTCTCCACTGCCTTGTGGATCAGTTTATTGAGCCAAAGGCTTCGGGTGGAGTCCCCAAACAAACCTCCATAACCCACGTTGTCTTGTGGGTGACTGTTGAGTCAAAGGCTAGAGGCAGGGCACCACGAACAAAACCTCTCCTCCGGAATGGACAGCCGAAGAGTATCAGCTGTCTTCTCGATCACGTCGACAATACTCCCACTTCTTCTTCTACTTGTTTTTCTCTCCCCTCCCCCCACTCCTCTTCTCCGTATATTGAGGAAGAGACTGTCGCTGATCTAGTAGCTGCTGCTATAGATAGACGTATCTCCTCCATCAAGCCTGGTGTTTTACTTCCTTTTGGTTCTTTTAACGTCCGCACTCTAGGTCAGATCGGCCAGCAGGCAGCACTGACTCTCACTCTTCACTCTCTTGGTATTGATGTGTGCTGTGTCTCCGAAACACATACCAGATAATAGTGTCGTGACAAATCTTCGACTCTCTGATTCTGACAACGGCGGTCATACGCTGCGTCTCTGGCGATACTGAGGTATTTATTGTGTTGGTGTTGCGCTCAGCAAACATGCTGAAGTCAACCTACTCGACGGTATACCATTGAACAGCCGCATGTGTGCGGTTCGACTTTGAACTTCTATTATAGTTAATAAGCAGCATCTAAAGCCAAGGTGCCTTTTCATCGCCTTAGTTTGTGCGCCCTACTGAATGCAGTTCAAAGGATATCAAGGACGATTGCTACCAATAGTACTCATCTCTTCTTTGTGTAACAAAGAATACTGATATCGTGATTGTTGCTGGTGCCATGAATGCCAAAATGGGACCGCCTTTCAAACTCTAAACAACACCTGGGAGGACGCTTCGGAGTCGATGCACGCCGAACCGACAATGGCGATTGACTCCTGCAACTGTGCACCGACCACAACCTTTACATTCGAAGCACTGCTTTCCAGCACAAACGTTCACACCGCGTTACCTGGCGCCCACCGAAATCCTCAATGACCTGGACTCAAATTGACCACCTTGCCATCAGCTACAGATGGCGCATATCAATCCAAGACTGTCTGTCAATTTGGAGCACGTGCTTGGATTCTGACCATGCTCCAGGGCGCGTACGTCTGGCACTCACTCTTTCGTTTCAAAGAAGCGACTATCATCCAACCTTCTTAACTGTAAGAAAAACTACCTGGGGGACAAAAATGAAAGCAGCCAGATGTCAAGAGCAACGTTCTAGTTCTGTAGTCGGAAGAGTGCCATGAATGTTCGGTTTGGTTTACGCAAGCAAACGTGGTCAACGTTCCAACAATCATCATCATTACTGTATTACAGAGAGTACACTATATAGAATAAGGGGTTATCCTCACCACAACCCACAACCCCCCAAACTGGAGGGTCAGCAGACTGGGTTTTCCGGACTTCCAACCGTTGACCAACCTGGCATGAGTAGCTCTGAAGATGCGAAAGAACCACCCTGCATGACCCAATGCATTGCTGAGGCGCGCAAACCATCGTATCACTTTAACGTCAAGTATCGCCGTAATGGCAAGCTGATCGCAGTCTCAGTGACAGCCAAACCCGAAACCGGATGTCGCGAACAATTTATAGTACTGAATTGCAATGGATCAGGTTGCCATTTATCATACAGCGGTGATTTACACACGGACGCAGACTCGTAGATGGATTACTTGATATCATACAAGATGTGAAGAAGAGGATGAGGTGAAGATGAAAACTAACCAAAAATAAAAGTGGCCTCACCTTTTTGCATTCCCAATTTTTGACGGATGTAGAGAGCAGTTGAGTCATAATATAAGTAGATTTCAGCAGGACCAAAGAAATCGACATGACAATCCGCAAAGCGAACCGTGTGCACAGCTAGAAGGGGCATTAGAGGAAAAAGTCGATAGACATGAATAGCGCGAGAAGCAAACAGGTCAAGACGAAACAGGTTGAACCTCACTCAAGAGCCGGAATGCGCAGAAACAAGAAACCATTGAAGTGGAACAGAGAGAGCTCAGGGCATCTATTACTGAGAAGCAAAGTACGCGAGTAGTGCCGGACTAAGACACCAACACAAGGCGGGTGGACCAAAACTGGTGACGCAAACACCTGTACGTTCATTACAGCTGATGTAATGGACTAGGTTTAGCTAAATATGGATACTAGCAAGTGCTTACCTGCCGGAGATCACCAACTTTACCATGTGCAAAAGATCAGTCGTTATCGGTAGCTGTGGGGTGAACAATGCAGTTGACGGAAGCTCAATATTTAGTTGTATCGGAGATGCCGGTTTGCCGAACAACCTCGCGAGTGGTTCGGGTTTATCCCGTCCCAATGTTTCGATGGCAGAGTTTAAGGGCGTGATCAGCCTACACCCGAGAAGCATTCCTCACATAAAATCTGCAAATGTCCGTTTACTTAGGGGATGTGACTCAGCATTAACTAGGCACTGCATATTGCTTCACCTCGGTCGAGAACTGTAGGTCGGTGGATGGATACAAGCAAGACGGCGTGTATTGGGCTCATGTCCGGCAAATCATCAAACGAAAAGCGCATGAACTGAAAGTCCTTCGCTGACTGAAAATGGCTGCGGTTCACTGGTTTCGTTACGCTGATCTGCGAGTAGGCTATTTAACAGAACGCAAAAGAGTCGTGCTTCCCAAGTTAACCCCATACATCGGCTAAAGTAACCAGTTAGGATCGCGCCCTATGCAGAAGCCAAGCAACAGCTGTGTGTTCCGTTCAGGTGTTTTTTCACGAAAACTGCACAACGTTTTCACTTGTATGGTTTTCGACGAGCCTATATATATATATATATATATATATATATATATATATATATATATATATATATATATATATATATATATATATATATATCGATCAGCGGCATCATTGTCCGGATTTGCCTGTCACTGAGACTTCCATAAGACAGCCAAAGAACGCTTGCGCCTAAAGAGGGAGTATGGATGGCTTGCGCTGCACCAGCCAATACTCCAACCACAGCCCATTGCCGGTGTAAACCCGAATCTTCGGTTGCCACACATGACACATCGCGACACTCAGCAGACCATATAATAGCTGCTTCAGTATCCGCGTGAAATCCATACGACACACATGACCAAGCCACCTCAAGTGCCTCTGCAAAAGTATGCAGCCCACTGTACATAATCCACTTCGGTCTAACACCGTGTCCGCAACTCTGTCGCACAAACCGATGCGCAGAATCTCGCGCAGACACAGTTGATGGAACCGCTTGAGATATCGCACATCTCGCCGGTACATCGTCCACGTTTCGCTTCCGTCTGGAAGAATGGACAGCACCATGGATTTGTACACCATCAGCTTCGTGCCAATGGTAAGCTGATTGCTGTTTCACACTCGGTACTCAAGCTACCCGAATGCCGCCGCTGCCTTAGACACGAATACGAAGCTCATTACGTAGCTGCTGGTCAGTCGCCATCGCAGTCCCAAGGTAGCAGAAGCCGGAAGTCGTGTCAAATACATCGTCACCAACGCTGATTCGCGGCACTATTGCATATTGCACCTCCGGCGAAGGCTGAAAGAGACAGAGTTTCGCCTGTGTTCATAGTGAGCGCGAATTTGCAAGCTGTCGAAGCCAGAGCACTAGTTATGTGCTGCAACCCATCCGCGCTGTGTGCAAACAACGCACAGTCGTCAGCGAACAGCAACATACGGATAGTTGTCTCACAGACTAGGGTTCTCGCATCGAAACGACGGATGTACATCAACCCACCATCAATACGGTGCTCCACACGAACACCGTAAGCACAAGCGGCATCAAAAGCACAAGACAACATTGCATGAAGATATATATTAAACAGGGCAGGAGCTAAGACAGCCTTGCTTCACACCAGATAACTGCAAAGTCATCTGAGGTCTGTCCACTCAGTTGCACGGTCGCCCGTATACCACCATGCAGACATACAATAAAACTTACATATTTACTCGAAAGATTAAACTTACATAACAACCGACACAATGACTCGCGGTTCACCGAATCAAATGCTGTGGTGAAATCAACTAACAGCGAGTATAACGGCTGCTGCCGCTCTCCGCAATTCTCCTGAAGTGGACGAGCCGCAAACACCAGAGCGATAGTGCCGCGACTCGAACGGAGTCCACATTGCTCTTGCGCCACGTTTGGTTCCACAACTTGACTGACGAGACGGTTGATTCGGGCAATCACCTTGCCCACACAACTCAGCAAGTTGATGTCACGATACTTCGTGACACATTGCTTACCCCTCCGCCCTTGTACAGTGGTACCAAAAAAGCATACTTTAGCTCAGGAGGCACCACCTCATCAATCCACAAGCGTTGCACCAATTGGAGCAGTGCAATCACCAACGCATTTCCGCCGTATTTCGACACTTCAGGCGGAATCCAGTAGACACCGGCACACACTTGCCGTTTCGCAGCTCAGCAAATGCTCTGCGTCTCATGTAGTGTCGGTGTGTCCATCAAACTCACCACATCGTGCAAATTGAGGCCTTTCAAAGTAGGCCAGTCAATCTCTGAACGATTTTTCAAGAGACAGTCAAAGTGCATTCGCCAGATCTGTATTACGTCTGTAGTCTATGTGAAGGCTGCACTTGCAGTAGCATTGAGCGGCGTTCATAGCAACTGCAACGTGCGTCCATACGCCGCACTCAAGGAGTTAAAGAATTCCTTATGTTAGCGACATTCGAGGTAGCATTCCATCTACTTCGCCTTCTCCGTCCCCCATGCATTCTTGATGCGACGGAGCTCTCGAGTCAATCGCAGTCAAGGTTTGCGAAAATGACACTTTTTCATTACATCTGCAGGATCATCCACATGTGCAGCGAACGCTGCATTCTTCTAAGGCACCAATACGCCGATGGTCGCATTGTTGTCAGCAAACCAATTGAGTCGCTTACAATTTGCGCGCCCTAGGCTTTGCTTGGCAGCAGCCGTCACGTATTCACGGATGCGGTGCCACAGTTCGCTTACTGAGGCAATGGATTCAACATCGACACGGTGGGTAGCATTCGTTTTCTTCATCCTCTCCCCAGCATTACCTAGGTAAAGAACGCTAAATTTACGCTGGTTGTTAGCAACTAAGCAATACATTTATTTACGAAAATGTAGGTACTATTGGGTACGCAGCAACTTATGATCAATGCCACACTCAGCTCCATGCAGTACGCGTATCATGCGCACTTCGCGGACGATGACATAGTCGAGCAGTTAAGCGTGACCACTTCGTGGGTGCGTCCAGATTGCTATATCACTCGCGCTCAGTGCAAACCGAGGGTTCGTGATCGTCAGGCCGTGAGTGGCACACAGTGAGAGCAGCATGTCACCGTTCGCATTCGTTGAATCAATAGCATGCGGACCGATATCATCTATCCACAAAGATGCATCGCGTCCAAAGCGCGCGTTGTAATCACCCGGTAGGAATAGTCGGTTGCTACAGCGGCGCAGACCGCATCAGGGGGGATAGCTGAGTGTGAAACTGATCAATTGTGTCATCAGGATGACAGATGGTGGGCCCATACGTGCTAATAAAAGTGGCAAACTTACCTCTTCCAAGTCGCAAGAGAAATGTCGTCAAGCAGCCCGCGCGCCATGAGTCAGTGAACCGACTCACGTGGAATTAGGTGTGTCCTGCCTCTTAGCTAGAAGAAAGGAGTAACCCAACTCCTATTCAGGGGTTGCCGCGAGGAGGCGTCGAAGACATGAGTCCACGGCATAACACTGGGAACAGTAGAAAGGGCATCAGCAGTACGCTCGTACGCAATATCGCACTTGCGTTTTGCGCAACCACAAACAGTCGCGCGTGGGCTGAGGATGCACCGAGGGTCGCCCGGTCCCTAAAAAGCTCGAACTAGCGCCCTCGGATCACAAGGGAGCCTTCTGATCTGTAAAGCTACAAGCCAAGTTGGGAGCAGCGGGTCAACGACCTGCCAGGATCTAGCCACTACAAGCTTCAGTACATCATAGACTCTCGCGCTTCATTATACATATGTATATATATGTATATATATATATATATGTATATATATGTATATATATATATATATATATATATATATATATATATATATATTATGCTGAGGTCGATGATGTATTCATGATGCTTCTTCACGGTAGTTGGGCTAAAGCAACTTAAACTAGATCTTTTTAATCTGGATAAAAAATTCATTCCACTTCATTTGGTTTGTTCAATTCTGTCATTCTGCGTCTAATTTTCGTGCTTTCTGTCCTTCAAATTCTGTGTCGGTTGTTTGATACCCGCGGTGTGGCTGCGCTTGAGGTGAATGTTGACAAGGCGCATACCTGCCTAACACCATCTCGATTACTGGCTCCAAGAGACTGTGAATCGTTGCTGGGGGGCGGAGTGTACGGCCTTCGCCACCGTGCTAGGCCCAAAGAGTATTTCTATCCAGCGTGAAACGGGCTATGGCTCAACCACTGCCTTGTGTAGGTTTGGTATGCATGATTCCTTTGAGAGATAGCCAGGAATGCTGCTGCTGTACATGCTGAAGGAATATGGGCCGGCTCGGTTGATGAAACGTGGCTCGCATCCACATGCACATAGGTCTCATTGGTTCAGGCTTACATTGGATATGGGTGTGTGGATGGAGTCGTGGGTGGTGCAGCGCAACCCACCCATGGTCCCACGGTAGGCGCCGGCGTCCTGTGGAGGCCACTGTGAGAGGCAAATGCGGAACCGAATGCGACGGATTACGATAGGCTACACCCATGAACACTACGCCACGCTTGAGGTGGATTCAGCACGTCAGTTGCACGCAAAGACCATCTTCACTTCGGTAGATGCTTACCAGTCTCGCTGATTATATTGTATTAACCGGTACACATTAGTGAAA